CAAAAAAAAAAAAAAAAAAGTTTAAACTTTTAGGTCCAGTATTATAGTGTACACTGTAATCTCAGCTCTAGGGGAGGCTGAAATAGGATAGTGAATTCCTGACCAGCCTGGGGTACATAAGAAAACCTTGTCTTTTTTTTTTTTAAAAAAAAAGTTTGAGTTTTTCGTAGTCCACCTAACTTAAATCAACCAGGCAGAATGACACTTGGTTTTATAACAGACTGTCAACAGTATTTCTACACTTGATCTTAGTCAAATAGTGAAGTGGTTGTCAAAGGATTTCTCATGCGTCTCCATTCATTCCTAGGGCCCCCATTCCAGTGTCATCTTAACTTTTTCATCATTCCCAGGTCCTTTCTTGACTCATTGCTTTGGCTTCTTCTCAGACTTCTTGGAAACCTTAGAAGTAGGCCAGCTCTTCATTGGTCTTAGTGATACTCTTTGATAACAAAAAATGAAACAGCATAGCCAAGTGCAGACCCAGAATTTTATGTTTTCCTTGAGAACGTTGTTTATAGTTCATAAAGGTTAGAAGACCCACTGTTCTTACAGCTGGAACTACTTTTCTCTGGTACATTCTCTAGCCTCTTGTAAGTCAGGCAGCCCCTTCCTTAAGGTAGTTTACGTGTTCTCAGGAGGGCAAATGAAGACAACCCAAATGGTGCCTTCTATTTCATGCCAAGTGGTTATTGTAGGGTAGCCCTGCCTAATTACTTTATTCATGGTAGAAAAGCCTTAATTTGAGGACAAAGCTAGACTCTTCATAACAGGTTGTTGGCCATTCCTTTTCTTTGACCAGATGCTTTTTATTTGAGTGAATGGTTTTATGCCCCAGGGAATTTCACAGTAGCAGCAGTGTCCTAAGGGTAAAAAAGGAGGCTGAAGAGATGGCTCAGCGGTTAAGAGCACTGACTGCTCTTGCAGAGGACCGGGGTTTGATGGTGGCTATGATCGTCCTTAACTCCAGTTCCAGGGGAATCTGAAGCCCTCTGACCTCTGAGGCATTGCACAGCATGGGTGCACTCACATACATGCAGGCAATGCACTCATACACGTAAAATAAAAATAAAAAGTTAAAAAAAAAATTGGGACCTACAGTACCATTCGGAAGTCATTCTGAAATAGTGGTGTTGACAACAAAGGTAAAGCAGCACCTGAGGTGCTGGTCACGGGGCTTAAATTAACTACAGTCCTTGTCCTTAGCAGTCCCAGGTGCTGAGGGGAACAGTGCTAACACAGACTGACTGTGCCTAGGGACACAGCCTGAACAAGCTCTTGTATTCAGACCTCTTCTAGGAATCTGAATGGGAAACCACAGGAGTATGATGAACTTGGGCTCACAATCATGAGCAAATGGATTGGTAGACTACAGAAACCATTCATTTGACATTTGATTGTCGATTTGACTTTACGAGGTACATATTTTAGAGGTTAGGAGGCCACTCAAAAAGTTGGGTAACTTGCTGAAGGACTTCATCCTAGATCGGCCAGGCTGTGGAGACATTGCCTCCTAAAAACCATTGTACAGAATACTGCCTTCCTCAGCACAAACTGAGGTAGGGAGGGAGGAACAGCAGCAAGGGCATGGGGAATACTCTGTTTCATAATGCCCGGAGTCCATTTTGTGCTTCCTGAAGCCTTATGAGCAGTCTCCACTCAGATACATACATCTTCTGTATTGAGCCCACATCGCCTGAGCTAATTTGTGTCCAGAAAAACTTAACTCGCCCCCCTACCTTCTGATGATTCTTAGTTAGAATTCTAGTTTTCTGCTCATCTTCGCTTGGGGTGGGGGCAGGGAAGAGAGGGAGGGAGAGAGATTAGAGATTGAACCTAGGGCTTCACAGTAGACAAGAACTCTACCACTGAGCTGTATCCCTAGCCCTACTCCTGGGAAGTTTAAGCAGTTAGTAAAAACCTAGCCCTGCACCTGGGAAATTTAAGCAGTTAGTAAACACACTTGTGTAATACCCTTCTGCTTAATGTGAAATGCTAATTAACCTTCACTGGAGGAGGAAGGGGTCCAAGGTTGGAGACCCCATGATGGGATTAATGTTCTTAGAAGAAATAGCCCTTTCTTCTGTTGTCCATGTGAGGGTGAAACTAGACGTTAACAAGTCTACAACTGGGGAGAAATGAGGCTTTCACCAGAACAGAGCCATTGTGGCCCCGTGATCTCAGACTTTTAAGTAAACTGACAGGCAGACTTTTCTGGTATTTCCTTAAAAAGTTTATAATTTTTTTTAAGTTTCAGGAAAGATGAAATTGTGATACTGTAGGGACATATCCAAACAGTGAAGAAATACTTCAAATTTATTTTTTTAAAAAGCACAAACAAATGCATAGCTTAAAGACAAGTACAAAATGGATTTCTTAATATGGACTATTGATAGGATCAATGAAAAGCCACAGTAGACTAAGTCACCATGTTTCAGTTTTAAATACCGGCCAATAAGTTGAATACTGAAAATGATGGTATTTCTCTTTCCTCTTCCAACCTACCAGATTCTTAAGATGGATTTCAAGATAACTTACAAAGTGTAGGTATAAAAATTTAGCATGTTATGATAAAGTTAGTATTTTACTAAAAGTATTTGAAATACTTAAAATTGTAAAGCGAAATGATTCAGGTATTAACAAATAAGAATGATGTCATTGTCATCATTAAGCTAGTCTCCTAAACACTACCCCAACATTAACCCATCCTGTACAGTTCTGAAAACTGTCACCACAACACTTTGCACAAGTTATTCTTTCACCCAGACAATTTGATCAGAGACCATGATTTGTAACTTTTAATACTCTTCGAAATTTCAACACTCAGTGCCATGTTCTCCAAATAGGAACTCAGATGTTGGTTACCATACAGCTTCAGAACTAATCAACCAGTTCCATTAATTTCTTGTAATGATAATCTGGTAAGCGTACACATTGAGTCTACATTAATCAGCAGATTATTGATGGCCCAGTATGTATCAGCCCTACTCTGAGCACAAAAGTGAAGATTGAGATCCACTCTGTGTGCCCTGTTAGATCATCTACCCTCAGTTCAGTGGTTGAAGTCCCACCTATAGACCATGGGCTATAGGGATCCTCTACATCCCTGGGGATCCTCTAAATGCTGTGCATGTCCTTACTAAGGACTAGCTGAAGACCAAATCTTGTACATATCTGTTTCAAATGTATGCTGAAGCTATGGTGACTAGTTTATACATTTCTTTAAAAGCACTATGAATTCCTTTTAGTTATTGGTTACTGGGTATTTTCTTAGTTGGCAGATAATGACTAGGAGGGATTTAAACTATTTGTATCTTCAGATATATATGCTTCAAAACATCAGAAGCGTGTAATGTGGCAATTTTTAAGTCTTAAGAAATAGAAAGCTTAAATGTCAAGAAAGTACATTGGAAAAAGAAACCCTTTTCAAAATCATGAAGGCATTACTAGCACCTCTCACTCATACCTCCGGTCCAGGGTGTTTTCCAGGTTTGCTAAGAACAAAAAATATAATTGTTACATCTTTTATACAAAGAGGAGTAATACAAACCATTTTTTAAACGGAGTACAAATATCGATGAGGAATCAATTTTTGTTAAGCTAGGACTTGTCAATTTTTTTCTTATCGCTAAAGCTCCCTCACCACTTCATCATTGGGCCCAGAGCCCCAAATGGCTCCTATGTGCTCAAAAATTCTTTGAAATCTTCAATTTATCTTGAAATGCCATGATTTTTGCACTACACTCCGTATTGCTTACTTTTAAAAAAAATGTGACCTAAATGTTTCACTGTTTTCCTCAAAGTTTTCTAGAAAAAACAGTGTTCAAGAAAAATAGGTGAAAGCAGCAGGACCATAGGTGATTCCCACATCGATGTATGAAAACACAGCTTTCCAATGAGCTTATTACAGGGAAAGTGGGAGTACTACCAAGGTATTCCTTTGAGGATGTGTAAACAGGAAAGCTAATCCTTGGAGTGTTAAACAAACATAATCAGGGCGGAAGTAAGCAACCACACAGGCAGAATGGAGCCTACCTAGGCAAGCTCAAGAGAAACAAGGCAGAAGGAAGTAACAGATCTAACAGAGTTGCCAATCAAGCTAATGTGGAGAAGCACTAGTGGCAGAGAACCTCTAGCATCATCCAGGGGAAGAGGGTGCCCCGGTCCACAAACGTGAATATCAGCAGGCACATCCCCTGCAGGGAGATGGATGCATGAGGGAACTTGCTTCCCTTGCTCAGAGTCCATGCTCACTGAGTAAACCGGCTGCTCATATTTTGGCTTCTCAAGGAGATTTGCCTAAAGGGAAAGAATGATTGATAGTTATATTTCTCATTGTGAACTAAAATTGATACTGTTCTTTAAAATATCAGTTACTGTGAACTTGTTTAATGTGAATTTCCCCTGTGCTGAAAAAATGATCTGTGAACTTGTAGGAATTCTTGTCAGACCCTGGACACATCAAATTTGCCAAGGTGAAACCACTTTATGAGTGGCTGGTTGGCCTGCCTCAGGTGAACAGCTCTGTTATCCTCAGATCTCATCACCCATGCTGTCCAATAGGAGAGCCACACTGGGTATCAGCCACTTGAAGTGTGGACAGTCTAAGTGGAGACACATTATAAGTAATAAAACACACTGGATTTCAAAGACTTAGAGTCCTCCCCTCCAAAAATGAAGAATGTAAATACCTTTAGAAATTACTACATGTTGAAATAAAACATTTTTAATATACTGTAATATTATTAAAGTTCCATCTTTATGTTGCTACTAGGAAACTGGTTCTATGACATTTCACTGGCTGGTATTGCTCTTCTAGACAAGTAATGACAACCATGTTTGCACTATATCCTTTCTGATGAGTTAGGCCTGGGAAGACAGAAAGGCCATTCTGGTATCAAGAACTAAATACTTTTTCTTACTACCTTGCTTTGAAAAGGCCAATAACATAAACACAACTAGTATTTTAGCCCCCTCAAGAGGTGAGGTCTTAGACAGTTCCCAAGTGTGGGAACAAAAGGCTGTGGAGTTACAAAGCTGACCCCTACCATACTAGGAGAGACTGATTAAACTGTGGAGCCAGGCCTCGGCACAGGTGCAGGGTGCAGATAGTAAGTAGCACATAGCCGCAGAGGACAGTGCTGCATACAGCTCAGAAGGCAGAAGACTGAGTGACTGCAAGAGCCAAGCAGCTGACAACTGAGTAATTTAGTATGTGATTTCCACAGGATTGAGTTACAAGGTAAGTATCAAAGATAAAAATGCGAAAAGATTGGTTTTTATTCATCAAAAGTTAACAGCAACAGGCACATATTAAAATGAGCATGGCAAAGCCTTTTACAAATGGCTTTACACTCAAGCTTTCTCCCAAGATGGCTGTTGCAACAAATTGTAAACATAATTAATAAACAGTCTTTTACAGTAACAAGGGAAATACAAATGAGCTAAAAGAAAGCACCGGTCTCTCTTAAAACTAGATTACAGTTGTGCTTGCTATACATAAAACAATTTAAAACAAATTACAAAAGTGGAATGTTTTTAAGTCTAAAATTAGTCCTTAAATTTTGTCCTAGAAAACATCTGTTCACATCAAAAGGCCCACCCAAAGGTAACGTTTCATCAAAAGGAGGGACAAGAAAACAATGCACTTTTCAAATCAAAACAGAGAGGTTTGGTCACTTAGCTTTGTGCATAGTTTAAGGCAACTGGAGCATCTGTTACAGCTTACTACCTTCCCCTCCCCCAAGTGTGGCTGCTTGCTATGTCACATTCTCAAATAATAAATAAAAGCTTAATTTCTAATCCTTTCCCACATGGATAAGCAGAACATGCACAGCCATACATGCACAAGCATGCACGCAAATACACACCCACACAGTCACACACAACATACCTCTCACGCACTGCAGTGAAAGGGACTTTAGTACCCTTGATCTGAAGGACACACTTCCCCATCCCATTTTATTTCAGATTGGCAAATACCCTGAGCTGATTATGGTGTGTTAAACATTCCACCTTTTTCTTGCATGTGTAGGTCAAGTGTACAGTAGTGAAAACAACATGCACTGTCTTCACTGCAGAATCAACACAGCTAGACACTGGTGTTCTTTCCCTCCCACCCCAGATTAGAAACCAAGTTTAAAAAAAAAAGTCTGCACTGCCAAACAGCACTGGAGTGAAAGCTTGGCGGTACTCTATGATAAATGCTCAGGTTCCAGTGCACAAAATAAAAGAACAGTGAATGGGAGGCTTTGGCGGCATCCAAAGAAGAAAAAAGGCAAACCACGGGGAAGAGCTGCAGTCAAGCTCGAGCTGTGAGTGTTTTAGTGGTTCCTTCACAATCATGCTCCAAGGCAATTTAGAACCGATTATTTTCAAAGTTGATTTGTAAACACTGAGTCTTGCCAGAGGCAGCAGAGGCTGGGCACTTCACATTTCTGTTTTCTCGGAGAGAACATAGTGGAGGGTACAGATACACACTGTTTGTACTGGACTGGTTAGACTCCAAAAGATTGCTGCTGAAAGATTCAGTTCAAGTTTCAGGGTTTGAAGGATAAATGCTTTGAAACACGTGGCACACATAAAAAATCCTCCTTTGTTACTCCTTTGTGGTTCTCCTGCTGGGCTTTGCATATTCAGGGTTTCACACAAAAGCCAAATGCATATTGCTTGTAAATCCAGGTCTTATAGTTAAAAAGTGGGTTCAAATGATCCAACAGAGGAAATCTTGGAAATAAATAATGCTGGCATCATTCACCTGGAAACCTGGCAGTTGGGGGTCAGTTCTCTCACATCAAGACCTCAGTTCACATTTCTACAGTCCTGCAGGAGGCAGTTTGTCCCACTGGTTCAGGGTTATGATAACCGATTTTCCTGAGGTAATAACTGTGAGTTCAATTCAAATGCAGCACTGGCTTCCTCGCTGCTGGGCTGCTCTCTCTGCAGTCCTTTCCAGCTGGCTTTATTCAGCCCCACATGTCCGAGCATTGTCTGTGACAGCCTTGTGTCTGAAAACCTGGCCCACTCTGTGAACAAAGGCTCCACTAGGTATGTCATAAAACCTTGAGAAACAGAAAAAGCCATTAATACATGCGTTGAAGTTTATCTTTAAAACATCCATAGTATTAATGTTCTTCCATCCCATTCCAAATGACCTACATCTTATTTTTCAAAGGATTTTACAGATCTTTTCTGAAGACTCTATTAAGTGATTCAGTGGAATTTTAACCAGAGGAGAACTGACTGGTAAACATTATTCAGTCTTTTCTGATTACTTCTTTCAGCTGAACAACCACATCGTTAAAGTAAACACATGGTGGCCATATCAACTCAGAGGGCACTAAGAACATGACTCAAGGGATACCCCTAATGAGATAGGGCAGGCCAAGATGTGGGCTCCTCCAGGACGTGGGCAATGAGGCTTGCTCCCCTCTGGGCAGCAGGTCCCTGCTTTACTCCCTCGGGGATGGACATTTACACCTGGCACGCTTGGATATCTTATTTAACTCAGAATTTACAATGCTAAAACTCAGAATTAATCCGTCTAAAAATAATATGAGCTTGGTTTAAAAATTACTAAAGTGAAGAACTTAAAAAAGGTACCTGGGTACTACTGGCTTTCAATTCATTTTCAAAATGAATTATTTCAGAATTGCCTGCATCTTTTGGTTACACTGCACTCTTGCACATATCAGGCTTAACAGTACATTGTGTCTTACACAAGAGCCAAAGAAGCTCCTTAGAAAATAGCTTATTAATCTAATCTAATATATGCTGGAAAAAATACATTATCTCTAAAGCTCTGACTTTAAGGAAGGAAAATGCAAAGAGTATCATTGCTTGTTTGAAGTTTTTGCACTTAACACTTCTTGCAACAAATCATCATGTGGACCACACACAGTTATAAGGTTCTATTTAGCCCAAATAAAATAAAAATCTCACCAGAATGAAAGCAACTGGCTCACAATTTTTAATTAGGGAAATCATATAGTTTGATAGTTGAACCATGAACCCCCCCCATCTTCCTTGTATTCCCCATCCTCCTTTGTTCTTTTCCTTCTTTTTTGAGGTAAGAGGGGGGTTGAGAAAGGGTCTCATGTAGCCCAGGCTAGCCTCAAATTTGCTATGTAGTAGGGCTGAAAAGATGGCTCAGCAGTTAAAGCACCTGTTGCTTTTACAGAGGACCTGAATTTAGTTCCCAGCACCCACATAGCAGTAAGGTCTGCTTGCTTTCATTGATTCATTCTCTCTATAAATACTAAAGCCAAAGACCAGATCTACACAGGGCTCTGCTGGGGTGGCTGCAAATGCAGCAATGAACAAAACACAAAATCTCTAACCATCAAGGGCTTATGCTCTGGTGAAGAAAAAAAGAGTAACAGAAGACTGTCTTTACTGCAGTCAAGAAACCTAGCAGCTGGGCCAGCAGACAGTTCAGTGGGTAAATGTACTTGACTTGCCAAAACCTGACAACCTCATGCTCCCCAGGACTCACCTGGAGGAAGGAGAGGACTAATTCCTCAAGTTGTCTTCTCATCTCCACAATGTGTTGTGGCATGTACACACTCACGCATACATACAAATGTGCATGTGTGTGAGCACACACAAATATACAAATAAATGAAGTTTTTTTTTTTAAAAAAAAACTGGGCCTACCTCTAAGGTTGATTAAGTTCCAGGGGACTATGGTGAGTCACCTGTCCTCTTGTTCAGGGAGGACATGGAGACCCCATGAGATGGACTTGAACCAGTGTCCAGTCTACAAAGAGGAGGGTCAACTCAGAGGAAACATCTCATTCATGCTTCCA